TAATGTTTTTTCTACTGTACAGACCGTATATTCTATTGCCCTACACCAACCCTACCCCTAAACCTACCCCTCACAGGAAACTTTGTGCTATTTCAGATTTTCAATACACTCCATTCTGTGTGATTTATAAGCGTTTTGAAAAGTGGGGACATGGGGTAATGTCCTGAAAAGTCACCTTCTCCTTGTAATACCTATGTTATACCCTTGTCATTATACAAATGTATGTCCTCATTTGTCACAAAAACGCGCGCACACACACACACACACACACACACACTCACACATACACACACGCAGCTCTCATATACCATACTATACAAGGAACTTGTTTAAAATTAATAAAAATGCTTGTACGTTAATTGATATGTGTAAGTATCTTATTTCAGCAAAATATGATTTCAAAATTATTATTATTATTATATTTACGTTGGCAGAGAACAACACTGAGGGCGTGTTATAACTAATCTAAATTAACTAGTTTTATTCCAAAAGTATGTGTATATATTAATATAATCAGTGAAAAATATCATTTATTAATATCTGTAACTTCAAGTTACACAAACTGAAAGGTTCAGATCAGGTAGGAATAGATCCTTACAGTAACAAATGTATGTTTATAAAAATAATTCATTTTAACCGAATTTAATTGAATAATACATGTAATGATAATTATTAGCTTTGTTGATATCATTATTTCGTAATAATTGTTGTTGACAGGGTTGTCTATGGTGCTGTTGTTGTTCCTATCAGCGATTTACCTTCGTTTTTACCAACAAGAATTCACGATTTTGTCTCTGACTCTTACTTTAGTCGAATTAAACATGTAAAAGAATGTCGTGTGATATTTTTTTAACCTAATTTCTGATCTCAGTGTGTTTTCAGCACCTTGGACAAGAGCGCGAGGATTTCGCGAGGCGCGTTTCTGCTGCTGACCGAGTGTTTCTTTTTAGGTTTAAAAACAGCTAGGATCACAACAATATCAGACATGCTTTTTAAAAGTTTAACTACTTTTAACTTGCCATTACTAGTCTTAAAAACAGAGCGCACGAGCGAGACGCAGAAAAAACAAACAAACAGCGACACTCACACACACCTGTTCATGTTCCTGTAAACCACACACACACACACACTCTCTCACTCACACACACACACTCTCTCACTCACTCACTCACATACACACACACTCTCACACACACACACACACTCACACACACACACACACACACACATGAACTGACAGCGTTCAGAATAACAGAAATCGGATCTGATGTGATTAAACCAGCACGCCTGGCATGCATATTGTTAAAGTATAACGCCATTAACAACGAGCAATGTGTTTCTGACTTAATTGCGTCATTAAGAATCAACAGCGTCACAAACATCCGTCAAAATATGAATCTTTGCACATAATGCAATTGTCATTAAACAAAACCAGACAGTTCAGCAATGCATTTTAAGCGGAGGACTACGAATAATTAGCCTGTTTCCTTTCAAATCTCATTTGTGGCGTGTTGTGTGTTTCCATGTTATTGCAATCAGAGACTTTCAGGAACATGATATGATTCGCTATAAAAGAATTATAAACTTTTTTGCATTTTGTCTGTGAAACAAAAATCAGTCGCAAGATTGAAATCTACTTACATGTGAAACTTCGCTTCTGTTCGGCTGTATACGTGCAAGTGTTCACACATCTCCTCTGATCAACAGAAAGAGCCACAGGAAAGCCATGCTGAAAATCCCCAGCAATCAAATCAAGTTGCGCATTTAATGTTCCAAGTTCAGTCTGAAGTGAATCCACGCGCTCAGGAGGAGGAAAAGACCCTTAAATCCCCTCTTTCACATCATCCCGAATGTCTGTCCTGTCCCTGTGCCATTGATCCCCAATTCCCAATCACACACACACACACACACAGACTCCAGCAGCACATGAGGTTGTGGCTCTGTTTCTCCTGGATGTTCATGTGTATCTCAGACTGAACTGATCTGAGAGCAGCAGAGAGCCAGTTGTTCAGATGTTCCGCCTCCTCCACGAACCCCATCTGCTCCAGCCGCTTTAAAACACAGTTTGTGCAAAAAGTGCATAAAGTGCATGGTGTTTTGTCATATGCATTGCTTTAGATTAGGTCTGTTTTGCTTCCTCCTCCCTTTAAATATTCTATTAAGCGCACTTTGTTCTTAATAATCAGGATTTGGGTTTTAAAACTGAAATTTGATGTGTGCATGGCTTTTTTTATTTAGAATGAGATACAGACAATTCATATGCATGCAAATGCCATCTTTATAACTTATTAAATATACCCAGTATCAGATATAATACAGTGCATTAAGTGGCTTAGCTCACACATATGGACTGGAGAGAAAGATAATTAGTCGAATTATTAAATACAAATATATCCGTGACTATTTATGAAGTTGTGTAAATGAGGCGGAATATGAGTTCATAACTCCATCTGTTGGTCATAGAAAGTATCGCAGGACAAAAATCTAGTGAGTAATTTTAATCATGCATGGTCTTTAATTCAAATATCAGTGCGAGAGACGAATCATTTTTTTATTTTAAATTTACAATTAATTGTTTAAATACTACTCACTGTAGGAATGTGTTGCTTGCATCTTATTTTATTGAGTAGGCTATACGCTTTATTGAATATAATGTATAGGGGACATTCACAAAGAACACACTGCTTTTCCATTTTCGTCAATATATAGGCGTCTTTACACAACCAATGCCGAATATACACCGCAAAGGCGGCACAGAAGCGCTTCTGAAGTGGCATTTAGGTGTCTTTAATGCTGCTCAGAAGTGGCTTAAATGCATTTCCACAGCAATTACAACTGTGTGCTTTGATACAAGAGGCTATAATTGATTCTGAGCAGGCATAATTTAGTCTGGCTTTTATGCCGCATTGCATCTTTACACTGAATTTTGAGCAGGCACATTGCAGCCTTTGTAAAGATGCCTTAAATGCAGAGGTGTAAAGTATTTGAGCAAATGCAATTAATTACTGTACTTGAGTATCTTTTTGGATGCTCTGTAGTTTTATTGAGTATCAATTAGCAACTTTTACTCTCTACTTCACTACATTTTTGAATAAGTATCTGTACTCTTTACTCCACTATACATTTGTAATGAGTGTTGCAATTACACATTACATTTTGCATGGCATCTAGCTTTTTCTGCAGTGATGTCGCCAACTACAGGGCACTGAAAGTACTGTATCTCGAGCGTTTTGCCCTTTTACTCAGCCAAACTTGTCAACAAGGCTACTGACTTTTTAATTTTACTTAACATTATTTTTTCATTATTCTCCTGTATATTCTTATCCTGTTATTATTGTAAAAGTAAACAAATTAAGCCAAAAAAAATACTTAACATTATTTTATTTATCCGTTATACTGAATAGACATTTTTTTAGGATTTTTTGCAACGTTGAGCCTATTTTCGCACAGAACTTGCAAAAAAATTTAAAAAAATAAAACGGGTTTTGCGTTTTTTCCCTTGCGTTTATGAATGGCCACTAAGGCGCTAACTAACTATGTATGTATGATTTTTTTAAATTAAATAAAATTACATGCAAATACTATATATTACTCTAATGCTATATTATGAATATGTGCGTGTTCTGCGATTTATTTACATTTATATTATTCATTCATTCTCCTCCCGCCTCGAGCGCGCTAGCGCGTCTTGGCGTGGCGGAAGTGACGTCACGACGTCAACATGTAAGATGGCGACGCATCACAGGCAGAATGCAGCGGGGCGCAGGAAAGTGCAGGTGAATGTTTCACGCTTGCGAGTGCGCTTGTGATGTGCGTGTGCGGTTTATGTGACGATAGGAGCCTTCAGAGTGTAGCTCGTTGTGTGACGGCTGTTTTAAACGCGGATGTGAGCGTTTGTGTGGCGCACAGGGAGGTGGAGGCCACAGGCGGTGTCTCAAAATCTAGTGTGCTGCCTACCGTACTGCAATCTCGAGGCGTCTAAGAATGCTGCATACTAAGTCTGTATGGACTGCTTACAGCAGCCCGTGATTATATAAACAGGCTGTGTCGGGGTTTAGATGATCATTATGGGCTTCGGATTGAAAAATTAAGCAGATTTTGGGTTCTAATAAGTCATCTGGTGTCAATCATCCTTCCATACTTATGCATACTTACCATATATGCACATTGCATGCTGAACATATGTGGCAGTATGCATATGTACATGTATAATGAACATAAAAAAGATCTAAACATATGAGCGGATAGATGTACAAACTAACACATGCATACTAGGATATGAGCACTTATAAACCCTAACTGTACTATAAATGCCTGCATACTGTGTGCATTATGCATGTGTTTATCAAGGTATTTTTATGCTGTGCAGACGAAACATTTGCTTGTGGTTGAACATTGATTTATTAATTAATTACAAATTTAAAACAAATAATTTTTTTTATTTGTGTGAAATAAAATGTAACATATTTCTTTCTGACACAAAAACGTTGCTAAAAATAAAATGCATGCTTTTTGTGCTGTTCCAAACTGATAGTCTGTATTTTATTTATATTTAATGAAAATGAGTCAAGTAAAAGTTTCAAAGTATTTACATGGCTTTGCGTTTGTAATTTGTTATTTTGTTTTCAGAATTGTGATTTGCTTTGCACTTCTCGGCCACCGTACTTTTAGCATGTGGTATATTTAGGAGACTAATAAATAGCAATAATTATTAATCCTTTGGTTTTAGTCTGATTCATAGTAGAGGTCGACCGATAGTTGGAGATAATGATAAAATAAAAGTAATTCGAATTAAAATAAACGGAACAGTGTTATGAACAAAAACTTTAAACTCAAATAAAAAATTAATTAGTGCTGAATTTGATTGCAAAATTAACATTCAGAATGTTTTGTATTATTTAAAATATTTTAATCAAATAATTGTAAATAATAATACTTTTAAATGTAATTTCATATATACTGTCATTCAAAAGTTTAGGATCCGTAGGATTTTTATTACTTTCTAAAGAAGTCTCTTCTGCTCTCCAAGGCTGCATTTATTAGATCAGAAATACAGAAAAACAGTAAAATTGTGAAATATTATTACAATTTAAAACAGCTGTTTTCTATGTGAATATCTGTTAAACTGTAATTTATTTCTGTGATCAAAGCTGTATTTTCAGCATCATTACTCCAGTCTTCAGTGTCACATGATCTTCAGAAATCATAATAATATGCTGATTTTTTTGCTGCTTAATATTTTTTTGGAACCTGTGATACTTTTTTTGAGATTCTTTGATGAATAAAAAGTTAAAAAGAACTGCGTTTATTCAAAATATAAATCTTTTCTAACCATATAAGTCTTTACTGTCACTTTTTATCAGTTTAACACATCCTTGCTGCTTAGAATAATATATATATATATATATGCTGTATTATACATTATATTTTGCCTCGTTCTTACATTTCTGTATAACTACTTTATAAACGTTTCCAAAAAGTTTTTTGGAAATTTGTATTGTGCAGCATTTTTACACTAAAAAGGTTGATATTACTGTGAAATGATAGTAATGCTAGATCTGTTGAACAACATCACTTATGTTTATAGCATGAGCCCCTTTTAATACCTTAAAATTAAATCTTACTGAATCTGCACAAATCATAACATCTAAAGTGGCTTTTTTCAGTGTCTGAAACTCGATATCGATGGACCTCAGATTCTGAGCATGCGTGTGTTGCAGGTGTCATACGTGATCAGAGACGAGGTGGAGAAATATAATCGTAATGGAGTCAACGCACTTCAGCTGGATCCGGCTCTGAACCGGCTCTTCACCGCCGGGAGAGACTCCATCATCAGGATATGGAGCGTTAACCAGCACAAGGTGAGCCGTCGGTCACTGAACCTGTCGGAACAATTCCCTGGCCCTTTGAAATGACGCTCCGCTCTTGTGTGTGCGTGTGTGTCTGTGTGTGTCACTAAACCCGTGCATGTGATGTCAAAACACTTCCCTGGCCTTTGAAATGACGTTCCTGCTCTTGCGTGTGTGTGTGTGTTGCAGCAGGATCCGTACATTGCATCGATGGAGCATCACACAGACTGGGTCAATGACATCGTCCTCTGCTGCAACGGGAAAACACGTGAGCGTCTGACGCATGCAGTGCAGTTCTCATGTGCTCGTATGAATGCAGTACAGATGTATATGTGTCTCTGTTGTGTCTGCAGTGATATCAGCGTCGTCAGACACCACGGTGAAGGTCTGGAACGCACACAAGGGCTTCTGCATGTCCACACTGCGAACGCACAAGGTACAGTTAGTGCTCATTTTGTCAGCCCTTTTTAATTCAGTCTTCGTCCTGGTGTCAGATGTACTTGTATGTTATTATCATATTTAGTCAAGCTTGTCCTGTTTATGTTCGTCAAGCTGTATAATAGTTAAACTGATTAAAAAATATATATATAATTTTTGCTCAAAATTATAATTGAAAAGATCGTTGTCATTTGAGAAATTAATTTTTTTACATTTCAGGCATTGCACTTTCACCAATAAGCACAAATCAATATAATGTGGTCTTTATTTGACCTCATCTAGTGTACTGATTTATTACAGGCTATTTAATATATAAATTAATATCAAAGACTCTCTCTGTCTACATTATGAAAACTGGCAAAAACAAACAAAGATGTTCTCTACAGTTCGATGTCAATAATGTTTCTCTACAGTTTATATTAAGTTGATAAGTTGATATTCTGGTCATAATTTTTTTCCAAGCACACTTTACCAATTCTAAACCACATCAATCTTAATAACTACTATTAATTTTGCATGTAATCATTTATAAGATTGCAAAAAAATAAGCAAAACACCGGGCAGAAAATGAATCCTTTTAACAGCTCGTGCAGTAGAGGCGTGTACGGCAATCCGCAATAATATTTTATCTCCTTTTTTTCAACAAAAATTAAAAGAAATTTTGGTATAGTTTTTATTTTTTTAAATACATTTTAGTCTCGTCTTTTTTTGTCAACGATATCGCATGTTGATATAGTCACAGTTATCGTTTATTGAGCTTATTGTCGTCACTGTCTCGTCTTAGCCATGGGAAAAAAAGCTCGTTAACAAAATTAACACTAGGTACAGTCATGAAATGTTATGCACACATCTAAACAAACCAGGTGCATGACCAGAAACATCCAAGAAGACTTTCAAAAAAGACAGCTTTTACATTTTATAGTAGAGAAACAATGTGCTGATGCGTTATTTCCGCTGTTATGCATGGGTTGGTGTTTTTAATTTAATGCAAAGAGTTCCTGGTACGAATCTGCCAGTTGAATAAATGTTTTTTTATGCTTTTCTATATTGAAGTGTGCATTGTGTCTCTTATTCTCTTGTATTTTTATGTATTTTTGTGCAGGACTATGTTAAAGCATTGGCATATGCTAAAGACAAAGAGCTGGTGGCTTCTGCAGGACTGGACAGACAGATCTTTCTCTGGGATGTGAACACACTGACCGCACTGACCGCGTCCAATAACACCGTTACTAGTGAGTGCTGATGTTAATTTTATATATTTTTAAATATATATATTTTTTAGATTATTATGTTAACCCTATGTTATGTTAGTTTAAATATCTGATATGAAGAACACTATTTATTTATTATTAATAATTAATTACTTAATTTATTTATTATTAATTTATTT